CTCATGTTTTTCTTTGGGAAATTTCATTTTTTATAGATTTGTGAGATTTTAGCACATATATTATGAATACACATGTATTATGAATTTTATCCAAAATTTTATGAATAGTCTCTATGTAGACAAAATTCTTTTTAAAAATATATTTTGTCAAATGGAGTCATGTTTATCAATCCTGTCTTTTGTGATTTGTCTAAGAAATGTTTTTGTATATTCCCATCATAAGAATAGTCTCCTATTTTTTTCTAAATGCCTTAGGTTTGTTTTATGTTTGGACCTTTATGCAATATAAAATTACAGGGGAATATCTTTATATTTTTATATGACATGAATTTCTAATTTCTTTAATAGTGATGAGAAATAACACCACTATAATATTTATTTATTTATTTTTCTTTTTAATTGAGTTTATTGGTACATTTTAGGGATACAGTACAGTTACATTCATTGTTAGGATCTTGTACCTCTACATGACAGGTCTTGGTTCTCATTTTTTTTCCCTTGTCCCTGTCCTCCCTTCACCCCTCCTCCCCTCCCCATTTACAAACACTTTATTTCCATCTTTTCATTTTCTCACATTTTTTCTTTTCCCTTATTCCTCTTCCCCTACCCTTCCCAATTTCCCTATTCCTTTAGCCCTTTTCTTCCTATTTCACATTGTTAATTATCTCATTAGGATCTTGTGTACTATTATAGTTTTTCACACCAGAGAAACTATTCGGTATTTACACATGTGTGACTTATTTATTTCACTTAGGAGTATATCCTTAATATGTATCCACTTTCCAATGAGTGAATCTAATTTCTCATTTTTATGGCAGAGTAGTATTCCATTCTACACATCTTCTTTATCCAGTTTCCAACTGATAGGCAAATGGGCTGTTTCCAAGTTTTAGCTATTACAAAATGTGCCGCTATAAACATAGGTGCACATATATCACTCTGGTATGATTCTTTTAATTCTTTTGGAAAGATACCCAGCAGAGGGATGGCTGGGTCAAGTGGAACCTCTAAACCTAGTTCTTTAAGGTATCTCCATAGTGGTTGTACCAGTCTGCACTCCCACCAACAATGGAGGAGGGTTCCTTTCTCCCCACAACCCCGCCAACATTTGTTGTCGCTTGATTTCTTGATAGCATCCATTCTTTGTGGGTGAGGTGGAATCCCAGTGTTGTTTTCTTCTGCATCTCTCAAATGATCAGTGACCATCACTATAGTATTTAAAATTGTTATATATTTCCTTTATTTTATTCCGTTGATCTATTTGTTCAGCTTAGTAGCAATACCACTCCCAAACTTATTTTTCTTCCTTATAATTATTTAGTTATTCTTGATTTAATTTTGGAGTTTATAATTCACGATCAATTATTTGCATATAAAATTGGTGCTTTTATGTGGTGACCTCAGTGTGTAACTAAATTATTAATAAAATTATTGACACTCCTCCTTCTTTCTTCTTTTCCACTTTTCCTTTTGTTCTTTCTTTTCTTTCTTACCAGCCTTCCAGGCTAAGTTGATACTTAATGTACTTTTTTCCAAATCTGATATCTGAAAAAGATAGTGAATTTAAAATTGAAGAATAAATGAGTTTCGATTACTCGTCATGAATTTCAGCTTGTTTTATATCATTTTCAAATTCAATTAAAAGTGATCAATCAAGTTACATCTTGCTATTTGGAATATATGTAGGAATGAAAAGGCTGCACATGCTGTTGACTGCCAGGCTTTGTGTTTGTTCTGATACTCATTCTTGATGTCATCAAGAGTTCTAACAAAAAAATTAATAAATTCTGAAAATGCCATTCTAGACAGTACAGAAACATAGAGTAAATACTTACAAATTAGTCATATGGAAAAAATTCTTTTTTCTCCATTAATTTAAATTTAATTTATTCCATGTCATTCCATTTTTCTTTGTAATTTCTCTGTTGATGATCTTTTCTCTTGTCCTCTGACTCACAAGGCAATTTCTTTAGCTCTGTTTTGGAAACAAAATTGGACTTTGAATTACAAGTCTCCTCTTTATGGGATCCTCTTCAATACCCTCCTTTCGTCAGAAAAACTCTGAATTTCTCAGTAAATATAATAACTTTGGTGTAGTTTTTAGCTCCCTTCAGCCTTCTGCCTTTAGTCTCATTGCCAGTCTTTTTAACATCCTTGACTTCATAATTTCTTGCTACCTCTCATCTTGTAAAATCTATTGTAATTATGCACCGTGTTTTCCATCACATCTTAAAATGGCTTAGGTTAAATATCTCAACATATGAATTTATCTTCTTCAGCAACAAATTCCTGTTCTGTCATCAAGTGCTACTTGTAGCAGTCCCACAAAGGAGACCTGTCTCCATTTCCTTGGACGCAGAAGTAGTGAATTCTCCGGAGGATGTGCTTGGTGGACACACTGAATCAAGAGATGTGTACTTTTCACTCTCTAGATATTTCACTTTGTAGATGTTTTAGATTGTTCTTTACAATAGCACTGATCAACTCTTCTCCCGTCTTACATTCTTTTCAGAATTCTTAATATTTATTTGTTTGATGGTTGTAAAAGTCATGTCTTTATAATTTTCATCTTTGTGCATTTGTATTGGTCATTTATTCTTCTTTAATATTCATTCTCATGTTTTTCTTTGGGAAATTTCATTTTTTATAGATTTGTGAGATTTTAGCACATATATTATGAATACACATGTATTATGAATTTTATCCAAAATTTTATGAATAGTCTCTATGTAGACAAAATTCTTTTTAAAAATATATTTTGTCAAATGGAGTCATGTTTATCAATCCTGTCTTTTGTGATTTGTCTAAGAAATGTTTTTGTATATTCCCATCATAAGAATAGTCTCCTATTTTTTTCTAAATGCCTTAGGTTTGTTTTATGTTTGGACCTTTATGCAATATAAAATTACAGGGGAATATCTTTATATTTTTATATGACATGAATTTCTAATTTCTTTAATAGTGATGAGAAATAACACCACTATAATATTTATTTATTTATTTTTCTTTTTAATTGAGTTTATTGGTACATTTTAGGGATACAGTACAGTTACATTCATTGTTAGGATCTTGTACCTCTACATGACAGGTCTTGGTTCTCATTTTTTTTCCCTTGTCCCTGTCCTCCCTTCACCCCTCCTCCCCTCCCCATTTACAAACACTTTATTTCCATCTTTTCATTTTCTCACATTTTTTCTTTTCCCTTATTCCTCTTCCCCTACCCTTCCCAATTTCCCTATTCCTTTAGCCCTTTTCTTCCTATTTCACATTGTTAATTATCTCATTAGGATCTTGTGTACTATTATAGTTTTTCACACCAGAGAAACTATTCGGTATTTACACATGTGTGACTTATTTATTTCACTTAGGAGTATATCCTTAATATGTATCCACTTTCCAATGAGTGAATCTAATTTCTCATTTTTATGGCAGAGTAGTATTCCATTCTACACATCTTCTTTATCCAGTTTCCAACTGATAGGCAAATGGGCTGTTTCCAAGTTTTAGCTATTACAAAATGTGCCGCTATAAACATAGGTGCACATATATCACTCTGGTATGATTCTTTTAATTCTTTTGGAAAGATACCCAGCAGAGGGATGGCTGGGTCAAGTGGAACCTCTAAACCTAGTTCTTTAAGGTATCTCCATAGTGGTTGTACCAGTCTGCACTCCCACCAACAATGGAGGAGGGTTCCTTTCTCCCCACAACCCCGCCAACATTTGTTGTCGCTTGATTTCTTGATAGCATCCATTCTTTGTGGGTGAGGTGGAATCCCAGTGTTGTTTTCTTCTGCATCTCTCAAATGATCAGTGACCATCACTATAGTATTTAAAATTGTTATATATTTCCTTTATTTTATTCCGTTGATCTATTTGTTCAGCTTAGTAGCAATACCACTCCCAAACTTATTTTTCTTCCTTATAATTATTTAGTTATTCTTGATTTAATTTTGGAGTTTATAATTCACGATCAATTATTTGCATATAGATTTTGTTAATTTGGGAGATTTGATACCATTATGATATTATTTATCCATGTTATTTGTAATTATGTAGTTCTTGCTTTGTTAATTAACAGTACAGTTGATTAATTTCATTCCATCAAGATATTCCCTTTTATGCCAGACATTCTTCTAAGTATCACTGAGAAAATGAAGCTTACATTCTATCACATAAAATATTATGTAAATAATTTATGTAGTATGTAAAATGATATTCAATTCTGAGGGAAAATGGAAAACTAAATCATTTGTAGAGATCAGAATGGCAGAAGTCCTGTGGCAAAGGCAATACATTTCAGTTTAAATAGGGTATTCAGAACATATGACAAAAGACATAGGAAGCAATACTTGAAGGCGTTAAAAGAAGATTTTCTATGGTTCTATGGTTCGGATATTTGTCTTAGTCACTTCCTCATTGCTGGGATGAAATACCCAACATCTACAACTTAAAGGAAGACAGGCTTAGTTTGGCTCACAGTTTCACAGGTTTCACCCAGAGTTGGCTGGTACAAGCAGAAGAGGAATGGTGGAGGATAGCTGCTCACAGCATAGTGGCCAGGTGTCAGAGAAGAGAGGGGCTGCAGAGGATGACAGGCCCTTCTGGGTCATGCCCCAGTGAATTGCGTCTTCCAACCAGGCCCCACCTTTCAGCAACACATTCAGTTACTGAACTCATCAATGGATAAACCCGCTGATGAGTACAGTCCCTATGGTCCAGTCACCCTCCACAACTGAGCATAACGATGCTTTGGGGAGAAATTCCAAATCCAAACTATAACAGTATCCTCCTAAGGCTCGGGTGTTGGAAGCTTGTTTCCAGGGTGGTGATGCTGAGAGGTGAGGGGAACGTTGACAGTGGGGCCTGGAAGGAGTTTATTTGTTGATGGTCGCCGTCCTCAGAGGAGTGTAAGGTAACTTTTGTGGAACTATGAATTAGTTTTCATTAAAAAAGTTGTCATAAAAGAAAGATCTACTTTCTCATTTCCTATCTTTCCAGATGACCACCTCCTCACGTGTTACCACCGTGGTGTCATCTCCTGTGAACTTTCGCCAGAGATGAGCCAAGACAAATGCAGTGTCCTTCAATTTCTACAACTGTAAGCTAAATAAACACCTTTTCTTTCTGATATTTCATGATAGTAACAGAAAATAAACTAAACACAAAATTGTGGGATAAATCAATAGCTAGGGCAATGTTTCTTATGGGTTCCTGCCTGAGGTATTCCAGGATACCAAGGAAGTTTGGTAAAAAGCACAAGAGGTGAGTAAAGAGTTATGGAAGTAATGGGGGCTGTATCATAGGTGGTCTTATGAGCTCCTGAAGAACTTTGCTTTTGTCTTAGGAGGTCTGAAGAGTTTTACGAGCCTTGGTACACAGAAATCTTATAATCTGTCTGGCTGATGTATTAAGAATGGACCAAGGGATATAAAATGAGAAGCACTTGGGCCAGTAAGAAGGCTGTTGAAGAATATAAGTGAGATGGTGATGGGTGAAATCAGGAAGATGGTGGAAATGACAGATGGATTTTAGATATTTTGAAGGCAGAGTCATAGGGATGTCTTTAAAGTATATCTTACAAGTTATAAGTAAAATAAGGAGTCAGAAGGGTGATAGAATGTTTGGCTTAAATGAAATTGCAATTAATTAACACATGGAAGGCTTCAGGGGGTAGCAAATACTAGTTTTTGACTTACTGTTTTTTTGGTAAATACCAGACTTCTTTGTGGGTTTTTGGCAAGAACATATACGTATAAATATGGAATTTAAGAGAGAGAATCGTGGTCTGCAGGAATAAATTCAGATTGTTCTCATATAGACTGTACTAATAAAGATAGTGAATGTGTAGAGAAAAGAGGATGGTCGAAAGAATGGACCAGCCAAAGATACAAAGGAGGAACAACCAGTGTGCATCAAAAGAAACAAAAATAAAGTGGTGAGTGAGATATATTGAAAAAGAAAGAGTGGTCATTTGCATTAAGTGCTTCATTAGGTCAACTCAAATGAGGGCTGAAATCTAGCTATTGGATTGGGTCCAAAGATTGGTCATCTTTGAAAAAAAGAAGTTCATGCAGATTAGTGATGGAGAAAATCTGTTTAGAGCGTGTTGAAGAGAATACTTTAGGAAAGACATGGAGCACAGCAAATCTGAGAGTCTCATAAAACAAATGCCTGGGGAGTTGAAAAGAAAATTGAGTAAAGCTTTAAAAAATAGCAGAGTAGATACCAGTAGCAAAATACATTCTCTCTAGATCCTGGAATTGAAATATCTGGAAAATATCAACTTAGAAAAGAGGGAAAAAATAAAGAAGTGTGTATCTGAGAATTGGTGGGAAGATAATAAGAAAACTAAAACTATAGAGAAGGTGGAGAAATGAAGCACAACCCAAAGAAAAAGATGAAGTCTGAAAAGCTCACCCACTCCCAGGGATGGGGACTTGTCTCTGCTGACACAAGGTAAGACCAGAGAAGGTCAGCAGCTCCAGGGAGAAACAAAGGACGGGGCCCCAGAGAAATCCCACTGCTGTTGTGAACTGCCTCACACTGTGAGGTTTTACTCTAAAATAGGAGACTTGTTCTGCATTGCGGGCTAGAGTTGGGGAAGAAATCCAGTTCAGCACTGACTTGAGAGGGTGAATCAGGAGCCATATTGGGAAGGGGTTAATTATTTAAAGCTGAGGCAAAGAACAACTACACTGTAGAGTTTTTGTTGTGCTATGACAGTGACTGTGTGGGGAGATGTTACAAGAGACAGTCATGGACAGGGCCCAAAGTAAACATAGATCCCTTGACCCCTCACGCCAGGAAGTTCACTGGGGTCCTATCCTCTGGAAGGTAGGTGAGTTGTGTGTGGCTTTCAGAGGGGAAGCATCTAAAAGTGCTAGCATTAAGTTCAGTGGTCTACTTTGACCTTCACTGTTACATGTATCCAGCAGAGAACTCAGTGGTCTGTTTGATTTCCCCATTACCAGTGTGAGCAGAGATAAGACTCAGCTTGAACAAGCCTGGAGTGTATGAACGCAAGGGCCTCTGGAGCAGGGGCACCTCACAAACACAGGCTATGAGGGGAAGGAAGCTGTGGCTTGGTGGGTGTAGAGGAACGTGGAAATTGCAATTTCCAAGGTGACTTCAGCATTATGGAAGAAATCTTTGACTAACCATGCCTAGTGGGAAAGTCAGGGATGAATCCAGCATTCACACACAAAAAATATGAGTGTGAAAGCAAAATAGGTCATTTTTTTTCTTTCTTCAAAGATTTGTCTGGGACTTTGGCTTTTTTCTTCTTGTACTTTTCCTTTTTTTCCTATTTTTCTTTAATTTGCTTTCACCTTTTCTTTTATCTTCTCTTACTTTTATAAAATTCTAAGGACTTTTGCTTACTCTGAGAAAAGATCATTTGTCTCACTTTTCTCTCCTCCTTCTAATCTCTTCTTTGTTTTTCACGTTTTATTTCTTGTATTCTCCCATTCTACATTCACTCCGCCTTTACCAGTATTTCTTTTTTTTTTTGGTACTGGGAACCTTGCACTTGGGAAGCAGGCGGTGAAACTACTGAGTTAAATCCCTGGCCCTGACCAGTATTTCTATTAAGCTTTATTAATCTTTTGATATTTAATTAAGGTTATGCTATTATTGCTAAATGCCTTTCTATTTTTAGTCTTGGCATAGTTGTTGCATTTAGTAGCTATTTACTGTACATCAGTATTAGGTTTGTCTTTATTTCTAAATTGTAATTATAGCTTACTTTTTATGGTTAAGGGTCGTACTACGATAGCTTCTGTTGGTTGTTATGGCATGGAAATATCCAGCCTGTCTTTGACTTTACTACTGGTGCAAATTTTATTGCTATTGCCGGGTGGCTATTAGTTTTTACAGTATACCAATATCTGGTTTGTCCTTGCATCTTTGACAATATACTGTGATTCGCTTCTGCAGAACTGGGTGCTGGGCTGATTACACTGCACCGTCCCCTCCCAAATTAACAAAGGTTGTCAGGTATTGGAACAGAGGTAAAGTCCTATAGTTAGCTATGCCCAGAGGAAACCACTGAAAATCAGACATAAATAAAGGGACCTCTAGACTAACATCTTTTTCCCATTATAGTTGAACTGCAAACCTCTACACAAGGAAAAGTAAAATAGAAACATCAGAAGACAAGGCAATAAAATGTCCCCAAAACTACCACCTCCCCCAAAGCTGACTGATGGAGCATCAAAATGGAGGTAATAAAATGCCAAACAATTGAATTGTACCAAACAATACAAGAAGAGACAAAAGTAGTTTAATAAGGTTCTCACCAATCTCAAAGAAGATGTAACTGAACAGATATTGAACGTAATAAGTCATCAGTGAGCATATAGATGACACTAAAAGCTGGCTGAGCTACACAACATGAAGGAGCATTTATCAAAGAATCACCCAGAAGATAAAAAGTTCTATCAAAAGCATGAGCAGCAGAAGCGAGCAGTGTGAAGTGAGAGTGTTAGAACCGGAAGATAAGCCTGATAAAAGACAACACATACTCAAAGATACCTTAAAAGACAAACATAAAAAGGGGTCAAATAACTGCTAAATGACACAAAGAAGGCTAACCTATTATTAATTAGAATTAGTGAAAAATCAGAAGACAGCACAAATGGCACAAAATACTGTTGATAGAATTGTTGTAGACCAGGGTATGTGACGAATAATTGGGTGCCATACTGTGCCCCATGGTCCCGAGGCTGATGTGATCTACTTTGGGAAAAAGAAAAGCACACAGAGGGCTGGAGATTTAGCTCAGTGGTTTGGTGGCCTGCCTTGCAAACACAAGGACCCGAGTTCAATCCCCGGTACCAAAAAAAAAAAAAAAAAAGAAGAAAAAGAAAAGCACACAGAGGGCTGGAGATTTAGCTCAGTGGTTTGGTGGCCTGCCTTGCAAACACAAGGACCCGAGTTCAATCCCCGGTACCAAAAAAAAAAAAAAAAAAGAAGAAAAAGAAAAGCACACAGAGGGCTGGAGATTTAGCTCAGTGGTTTGGTGGCCTGCCTTGCAAACACAAGGACCCGAGTTCAATCCCCGGTACCAAAAAAAAAAAAAAAAAAAGAAGAAAAAGAAAAGCACACAGAAAGCTGCATACTTTCTGGCTCTGTGTAGGGATGCTTGTAATCACAGTACTCTCATGGCAGGATAACATCTGCTCAGGACAACGTGAAGAATACATCCTAAATAGGACACGTGTAAATACCGAATAGTTTCTCTTGTGTGAAAAACTAAAAGGGTAAATAAGTTTCAAATGGTATAATTGATAAAGTGAAATAGGTCTAATGGTATAGCGGAAGTGGGAAGCAGAGGGAAGGGAAAGGAAGGAAAAGAAAAAACACAAGAAAAGGGAAAAATGGAAACAAACAAAGTCTTTGTAAATAGAGAAGATGGAGTGGGTGAAGGAGGGCAGGGGAATGGGGAAAAATAAGAACCAAGATACATCATGTAAAAGTGCAAGATTCCAATGATGAATGTAACTGTACTGTATACCTAAAAAGTACCAATAAACTTAAAAAAAAAAAAAAGAACACAGCATCCAAGTAGAGGGAAGAACCTATTCCCTATTACTAGCTGTACATTCACTACTGCTGCTGCTGTTTCATGAAAGTACACTACTCCTACCCCGGAACTTCCTACTTACTAATAAAAATGGGTCTACCAGAGAGATTGTTTAAAGTGTCCACTAGAGGCAAATCTCCTCCTGGTCCCCCTAAACTTTAAAATTTAAACCTATCTTTCTTTATTACTTGTCGATCTCCTGACAGGAGGTCTGATCAGCTCCTGTAACAGAAATAGTAGTACAAAATTTTCCAAATATGGGAAAGAAATTAGCAGAGATAAGTAAGGCATATAGAGACTCAGAGAGCCATCATTAGAGTTTGCCATACCAAAATGTATACAAAAATACAAAAATGTTTGCCAAAAATACAAAAATGTATACAAAAATACAAAAATGTTTGCCATACCAAAATGTATACAAAAATACAAAAAAAGTTTACAAAAATTCAGTGTTACATTTATTAATTCGCATATGCTGACCCATACCTACATCCCTGGTATAAATCCTACTAGGTCATGGTGTATGGTCTCTTTGGTGATTTGCTGCATTCTGTTTGCTAGAATTTTATTGAGGATTTTCACATCTATGTTCATTAGGGAGATTGGCTTGTCGTTCTCTTTTTTGGTTGGATACTTCTCTGTTTTTTGTATCAGGGTAATTATTTTTTCTTTTTTTCTTTTCTTTTTTTTTTTTTTTTTTTTTTT